GCCAGGATAGGAAAGACAGCAAGACATACCTTCATTAACCTGAAATCAGTGTGGAGATCTACTGCACTGCACTGCACTCAGCATAAATCGTGAACAAGATTCGAATTTCCAACAGTAATTCAGTCAAGTCAGTCATTGCTTCTGTGTGATGGTTCAGAAACTTGGCACTTCATGAAAAGCATTTCCAACAAACTACAGACATTCACCAACAGATGTCGCCTACGCTCACTCGAAACTGAAGATCAGATGACCAGAATAATGAGAATGAGCAACAGTGAATTCACTCTGGCTTGCCAACGAGGTCGTGTGAGGAAGAAATGTGAGGTTATAGGGGGTCGTGGAGCCAAGTTAAGAAGACCGGAGAGAATAGAGTGAAATGTCGACGTGCTACCGAAGTCCTATGTTCCAATAGGAACCCAAGGGACAAATAATGATACAAATGCTAACTTCAAACATGAGAAGAAACGCCGTCTCACATGCATACGCCTACATCATCACGCTATAAGCTATGTTTGCAAAGAATCGGTGGAGGATTGCCACTCATTCTGGAGTACATGTTAGGACTACAGTCACACAGTAGTACAAGTACGTATGTGTCTGCGGCTTCCTGGTCACCGAAAACAGATATAAATTGAATTCACTGTGTGCTCAACTGGAAGGTGAGAACGTTAAATGCGTATTGAGGAAGGAGGTAGCTTAGCGCTGAACGTGGTATCCATTCTCATCTTGATGAAGCGTAGTACGATATTCAGTCTGAGGTAGAAACTGCGGTGAAGACTTTTGGTAACCTACATCCAGAAGTCAGCAAATGCTAGGGGATTTCTGCACGTCATCCAAACTGATTGATGCGTAAAAACTCATTTCATCTGCATTTGACAATAGTAAGGAGCGAAACTGATAAAAGTAGATCTCAAACCTCTAAAAAGACTATATATAACCAGCCTCAAGCAGATTTCCTTTAGGCATTGTGGTCACACACTAACCCCTCTTTTCAGGTACCTCATGGGAGGACTAGCCGTCATGGTGCAAGCAATCAGGAGATGTCAACCGCCCTCACAACTCTGTCAACTTTAAACTTCCCTCAGTTCATTGTCTACCTCCTTACCTTCTAATCTTCCTTTACGTCTTTTAGTCAATTATCCTATACCATTTTCATTTTCTTCCAACTCTGCAGCTCTCGACAACGATCTGAGTTCAAAGAACAGCACCTTTGGTGTCCTGAAACCGCGCTCCAAACTATACATTAGAGCTTACAATGTTCAGACCATCCGTCAAGCGGGCTAATAAGCATCACTAACCGCAACTATAGAAACTGAGATCATGAATATGTGCTACATTTTGAGACTCGCATACAGGACCCGGGCAATATGGTGAATCCGCGAAATTCACCCCTCGAGTTCCTGAGGGTTCGATGGCCAGTTCTCACAGTTTTGCAGGTACAGGTACAGCAGTATGCACTCAGGCAGAAAGTTTACTACTAGACTGTATCTCAGTTGATAGTCACCTATGCGCCGTTCAACTGGACAGCACTGTGAAGAAAAAGCAATAGGGAAAATTGCTGTTGTCTTTCTGTAATCTCTGCTTACCCACCCACTAACTGAAGTTGGGACGATGTAAAGAATAAGTTCTACCGGAGAATATCTAGCTTCCTACTGAAAGCCATACTTTCAAAAGTGATTATTTTTGCAGATGATTTCAGTGCACAAGTGGGTAGGCTGAGTCAGACAGAAAGGCACATAGGTGGGTGACACTTTCGGAATCCCAACTGAACAATTGTGCTCAGACAACAATCTATTTGTCGCCGGCACAAACTCCATAAAGGCAGAAAGAGACTTCGTCTGACGTGGCTTCTGCCGACATAAACTCAGCTGTGAACACAGATAGGCTCCATTGTTACTAGTTGTCTCTGGAAACGGTCGGTGGGAAATTGCTACTGTTTCTAAAGCATGTAATTCGGACAGTGACCGCACGTTGGTTTGAGCACGTGTGTGCTTGCGTTCAAATGGACGTGGGAAAACTGCATGAACAGGAGCATTGCATTGCGGGTGCAGCTGGAAGAGAATATTGGGGCTGGTTTCAACGAGAACTAGCTGGATAGTTATTTGAACAGAACAACACCACCCGTTAAGAAGCCTGACGCTACCCTCAGTATGTTGTAAAAACAGTGATAAAGACCATAGTCAACTCTCAAAAGGTGGCTAAAAGGGGCAGTAGATCTCAGCCGCTTCTTTTGAATTGATGAGTGCAGACGAACTCATCCCTGAACCCTCCGGCCATAACTAGGAGCGGAAGCCGTTAAAATATATGCTACCAAGAAGTCTACACGATGATCGTGAAGAGTGGTGGTTAGCCAAGACTAAAGGGATGGGAAAAGCAGCGGGATAGGTAACAGTAGACAGTTATTTACGTATATTGGGAAAACTGGTGCGTGAATGTCAATGGTTAGTGAGGCTATGCCGGCAAAGGATGGGTCTGGGATTCACTATCAAGCGAGACTACTGGGAAGAACACTTCGGCAAACAGTTCAGCTGACCTGTAGCTACTATTTTATTACTCGCTATTTAGTCGGAACCTGAATGGAATATTGAGACTAGGCCTTCAACACTTTTCTTTGAAGGTTTTGTACTCAAACACTCGCGGTCGTGTTACAGCCTTCTGGGAGTCTTTAGTTGAAATGTGTACGTCGAATGAGCCTTGTCAGGAATGTCTATTCTCTCCATTCCTGTCCAATTTTGACATCGACATCATTATGGAGATCTCCCTTTCATCATCTGACATCACAGGATATCTGTTAGGTTTAGACGCTGACAAGATGCAGGGGCTTCTAGACATATTGACTGGCATTTCTGATCACCCAAATGCAGAGTTTTGCTCCATGACGTCTTTAGTGGCATCCTGTTTAACAGTCGAGAGTAAAGTGGTTGAGTACGTTGAACACTTCACTTATCTCAGAAGTCGGATGAACCCTGCTGCGCTAGTGACCGAAGAAATCTTTGCAGGGATACAAGAGGCTCGCTTGGCTCTCGCCAACCTACGCTATCTGTCATGGTGTCACTAGTAATGTAGATTTCAGACTTAGAATTTTAGATAGGAGAGGAAAGTCAATCGATGAAGTTTTGAACCTTCATCTATTACGTTGGCTGGGACATGTGTTACGCCTGTCTAGCCACCGTCTGCCTCATCGTGCAATGTTAGCTGACGTAGGTTCAGTCTGGAAAAAGGCTCCAGATGGCCATACTAAAGCGTGATTTCATCGCTTGAACGCTTCAACTGTTGGGATGAGCCATCTAAGGGTATGTGAAGCTGTGGCTCAGTGGTTTCTGGTGATGATTATCAACCAAGTGGGTCACGGGTTTGAAGCCTGGTCCGCCTACTGAGGTTTGGGGAGCCAGGTAGTATCACAACTCCCCCCCCCACATAATTGGTGTAGCTCATTGTCTACTGCATAGATGTGCACAAGGTAGTTGAGTGCGTTCCTTTGCTTCTTTCTTATGTGGGGATATGCAGAGCAGCCGGTCGGGGTCCACGTGACAACAAAAACCAGGGGTTGGAGATTTTAGTCGATATAGCTGAAAACCAATTTCAGCGGGGCAGATGTAACCACATTTTATCTTTATCTTAATTCACCATACCAAACTCAGGATTTTCTCATCCCCCCTTCCTTTTTTACTACTTCCTATTGCTTCTAACCGATTTTTCTTCATCTTTCATCTTATTACTTTTTTGCTTGGTGTTCTGATATGAGATGTGGCAACATAGACTGTTACACAGTAATACATGGTCCTATGTTGAAATTGATGGCGGTCATGATACGGTGTGAGACAGACGTTAAAAGTAGACGATATGAAGTAGACACTTCATCATGGTATTTTTGTGGCTTTGTTCGCACGTGCTGGAATCACCATGAGAGGGATGCCGACGTCAGATGAAGGATATCAAGCAAGAAAGGTAAGCTGTTCAGTCAATAAGTTTGGGAACCTTCATTGTCTGAGATGGTTTGAACATATGCTATGCATACCGACTCACCACCTACGTCGACGTACCCTTCTAGAGAAAGTTGGATTAGATTGGAAGAGGATTCATTGTTGCCAGACCAAGACGCGGCACCAGCCGATGAAGTATCTTACTGTGGAGATGTAGACTCCCTGGTTGGGGTTCTCGAGATAGAAGAAACCATTGGTTGGACGAGTCTTAGTGATACGGCTGAAAATCGGTCACAATGGCGCAGATACATTCACTCCTTGGTGTCTTTTAAAGCTTGAATATTAGCACTATCTTTGATTTTTGAATTCCTTCTCCTCCCATACATCTTTGGCTACTTTGATACTTATCTCTTGTACCAACTTGTTTGCATGCTGTTTTGAAGTGCGGGAACTTGAGCCGATGCACCTTTGTGTGGGGTTCTACGTTAGTTTTGTCTTGTCTATCTCACTTAAACTACCTTAGAAACAAAAAGACCCACCTTTTGGTTGCCTCGCTAAGCTGACTGTGTTAAGCTCTAGGACCATCTTAGTTAATGCTTGTGTCACTCGGTCATTTTGAAAATATTTCACTCGAACTTCATTGTATTCGAAAAATCTCACTTCTATGCTATGCGAGCCTTTTAATGAAAATGATGAAAGCAAATTTCCGTTAGATATTACTTGTTTTCAACGATCATCTTATTCGCGTTTCGTGTTAGTTCAACAAACGGTATAACGTGGGTATAAAATCCATTTTATGTAGAAGTGTTAACCGGTTGGATGCGGTTCACCGAATTTTATTAAGACTGCCAATGTTTTCTGTGATGATTCATGAAGGGTGTGTCGCTTCACTATTGTATCTCGACGATTTGGCACGGGTTAGAAATGTTTAGTACTCTGTGTATGCGTGTTGCTGAGATGCCATAGATTAGTATAAAATAATTTCCCAGGACTTGATTGTCCATACATTAAGCGAAATCAGTGTTATAACTTTGTTTTTTAACATCAGTTTAATGTAGCTCATTTTTTCTCTTCTAGCAAACGGATCGTCCTGGACGTTATATTCCACCATGTTTACGTGGTGATGCAGCCACTACCGGCTCCAGTATGTCCTCAGAGAAGCGTCCATTCGATGGAAACACAGTACGTGTTACTAATCTACCACCGGATACAACTGCAGATGATCTGAAAGCATTGTTCAGTCCATTTGGTCATGTAATGCGTATCTATCCAGCGAAGGATAAATTAACTCAACAAAATAGGGTAAATTATTTTCTGTCTGTACTCGTTGATTTTTTATCATCTCAGTTTCTGTCTTCATATAATCAGCGGATACTTGATATAGTGTGGTATAAAATTGCCCAGATCTCTATAAGAAACCCTAAAGCCTTTCACAATTAATCTGCTATTTGAAACCAGGTTCACGTGCTTTTCCTCGAAACTTCGAAGCAACACGGTTGGCTGTGAAAGCTTTCTGGAATTTGATCTTCGAGGAATCTAGAAGTACTGATTTCACTCCATAACACCTTTCTCTGGAGAAAGGCGTGATGGATAGGAAGGTTGCTTTGGATTTTGTTGACAGGTATCCTGATGTAGATCTTTCGATATTTCAGAACAGCAGAATTTCGGTAATTATTCTTACTGTTAGGAATTCGTCATCCGGTTTATGATTGCTGTGAGTAGTCCAGCAGGATATCTAGAGATTATCGGTTCCAATGTGGACGATGACGTCTAGTTCTGATTTAATTTACGTGTCTTCTCTGGATTTTTGGATCAACTTGCACTTCGTAAAGCACTATCCCAAATCTCTGTCTAATTACTCCCATTTGTAACAGATTTTTACCCTGGTCAGTTCTGACCATAACCTTATCATCTGGACGAAATTTCTTGTTTCATTGTAGCCGCTTACTATTTTTTGACGTAAATGTGAAATGCTTCAGGAATTTGAAGCTGCTTGTGCGAATCTGGGCAGTCTTATCGTATATTATAACAATGCTGTTGTTTTTTCTTGTATCAAATGTATTTGGTATTCTGTAACTGATCAAGAGCAACATATATTCTCGTATTTCTAACCACTAGAAGGGAGGAATGTATTATCAAAGTGAACTTTTTGTTACAAACATTCATAAACTAGTGGTTATATGAATTACGCCGCCTCAACTGATTCTAGTTCATACATCATTTTCACTGCTTCTAATAAACATATCCTACAGGAGTGTATGTTAATTGACAAGTTTATGGAAGTTCAGGTCTATACGGGTTTAAAGTTGCATCATTTCATTCGGCTTCAATATGAGCTAAAAAATGATAAGGCTAAACCTACCTACACAATTGACACAGAAAAAGTATGGCTAAACATTACTTCCATACTCTCACACTGAATCAACTAAATGCTGCTGTCCCGTTTCCCCCTACTCTTCCTGTTTTAGCCACTAAGATTCATACTTAACAATAGTCTTTCTAGTTATCTTATTATTAGGTAATAAACTGGATAATCTATTTCCCAACAAAGGATTTACCTCTATGGGATAGTCTGGTGTCCATTTGCCTTGTAATATACTCCCTAGGATACACATAAAGAAAGTTAATATTTAATGAGATGACACTTGATTGTTATAGCGCACTCTGTGTATATGTCACTCGAATAACTTGGGTTGATAGGGTTTGATTACGGGATTACAACTAAGAGAGCAATACTGTTCATATCATCAGAGTTGGTTTTTGATCAGACCAAAGACTATAAGAAGCGTACAGATAACGAATTCTATACCAATAGTTTTCAACAGCTTCTTAAATGATATCAATTATAGTTAAGAGAGGATTCTTTAAATTAATATAACCTTAAGGTTTCGTGTATTTTAAGCATATTCAGTAAAGTATGAGTATGAAGCCACATAAAGAAATCTAGCAATATCAAGAGGACAGTCGATAAGGCACCAGAATGGGGTAACTCGACGATCGCTGATTCGAATGCTGCCACGACAAAAGTTTTCCCTTCACCTTTTGTGAACCAGTAACACCAGTTACTACTATCTCAGATAGAGTCGCAATCTATACTCATATACTTTTTCAGTTTCATTAAATACTTAAGAAATGACTTCCAATGGGTCATGAGTCTGAACCCCGCTCCACCTACTAGCGGGGTTTCAGTAGCCTGGTAGTATCATATACCCTCACACAAATAAGTGTGACTCATTGCTGCATGAATGTGCACAAGGTTATTGAGTGTATTTCTCTTCTTTCCCCATCATCTAATATCGCATCACTTAACTCGGTGGCTAGCCACATTACAAAACTTGATCAATGCTTAAGCACTAAGGTCTAGACTGCTACATCGATTATCCACTGGTGACCAATCTGTGAACAAAACCCAATCCTCTACGGAGTCAGTCGTGGTCTGGATAGCTTAGTGGTCAATTCTCTGGCTTTAACACTGAAAAAACCCAACAGTCTTCTCACAGTTACAGATACGCTTTGTCTCTGATGTGCGTCAATAAGCTCAAAGCCTAAGTTGAATAGGCTCTTTTTATCCAATTGATCTCAACATGTAACGTCAAAATGTTTCAATTATTAACAGATTTTTCCCCTGTATTGTTTTTTTCCTCTCTCTAGGGATTTGCATTTATATCGTATGAAACACCGGAGCAGGCGAGTAATGCAATATATGCTGTTAATGGTCTTCGACATAATCATGTCGTGCTTAAAGTTGATTGGGCAAAGTGAGTTTTCGACAGTTTTGTGGTTATTGAATATTTTTCACATAGAAAACGGAGATCATCTTTAATTTTAATCCAAGTTTATTGTACTTTAAAATAGTATTTAGATATTGAATACACTTGTTCTATATTTCATATGTATCATTATCGTTTCCATAGACCTGTCATATACTTGCCTTCCTTTATTAAAATCTCAATTTCACTTAACTACGTAGCAGTACTCCACCCCCCCTTCCCACCGTCTTAATCAGATGGATGCGCACTTATCTAGGTTGTAATCTACACAGATTATGCTTGATGAGCATGCATATTTAAGCGTTTCAGTCTAGTGAAATTATTCATTTATCCAACTTTTTTTATCTTCGCGATGTCAACTAAATTCACTTCTATAGTAACAATGGATAATGGCTAGCAGTGAAATCCAGGATGCTTGTTTCGTTCGATTTGGGACTCTTCAGCTGGATGTACCTACTTCCCAATGAGTGATGTTGTTCCCACTGGGATTCGAACCTGGGACCGATAGTCTCAAACACCAGAGCGTTATCCACTAGACCACCGAGCTACGATAGCGACTTCTTGTGTAAGTCCCAAATAGAACGAAATGCTCATCTTGGGTTTCACTGATAGCCACTATTAATCATTACAATGTGATTAAAAACACAGGCAATATCGAGGCATCCGTGCAGGAGCCCATATGCCAATAGAGACCGGTCAATTCGGTCCAATCAACGATAGTATAATATAAGCAATAACACTAAATTCACTTCGTTCACAGTGGATCACATTTGTTAGGAAGATGTACAGAGCCTAATTAATGGTCATCGCTACCCTCTAATATCTGACAGTCCCATTACTTTTCGGATCGAATGATGAAGATATGGTTCATTGACTTAAGAACTTGACCGCCAACCAATACATCTCAGGCCCGAACTCCGTTGCAACATATTCACTGTCAGTGAACTTGAAATGACAATAGGCAGTAAGCTACACTTGTTGTGTAAGGGGTTAATGATACAGCCTGGCTGTCCATATCTTGGCTTGTTGAGTGGGGCCTAGCATCTATCGCCCAGACCAATGAATCGTGAACTTTCATTGAATACTATGATTCTGTTCCTTAGTCCTCGTGTGCTTCGTGTAAAAACTGGGAGTCGATTTGCTTTAGAAGAGTTTCTATAATAATTTGAACTGAAAATGGTGATAATAAAGGACTTAAGGAGTTTGGTTGTCTTTCTTTCTTAGTTACTATATTTTGGTGAAATATAGGCGAAAAATCCGCACAATGGATATAAAACATGTTGTTGCATGATAAAAGTTAGTTTATATCCCGTAAATCAGTCAGTGTAGAAAACGACAAGACGGAGACGAAGGAAAGAAAGTTTATTATGGACATCTTGTACAGTAGTCATCAAATATTGTACACTTTTCACTAAGACAGTCATTTGCATAATTTGCTTCATTTCCTCTTCTGCTTCCATCTTGATTTGCTGTTAATACGCCCACATCGTCTGTTGCGTTCCTCTGGGTGGAATCATTACCCATTGTTGGTAATTCCCTATGATTTCTACCACCCTCTCAACATATACTACTTATATCCATTCTGATATGATTGAAGTTGAAGTGGTTTGACGTGGGTTCTAATAATACACGAACGAGATACTTTGAATGGATATGAGTAATACGACCCTATACTTCAGTGAGCCACAAAAATCAGAAGACAAAAGATGTGGCCTATGACTGCAGTCATAAATGAACCAATCCGATTTGTTGTATGATGTTGAGTTTTGTCTAATTAGATAATCATGTCAGTGCATGCATAAATCATGGTCGGAAAACAATTTTTCTATTACCTGCCTTTTTGTCGCTACATTTGACATTCAGATCAGCAAGACCCCACTACATTAAGATTTGTACATGTAAGTATTAGCTTTGACAATTCATACAATATTTGTGACGAAGAACTGCAGATAAAAACGGCTGTAATTCAATGTAATAAATGTAATGTTACTATGGAAATTTTACAACACTAAGCAATGAACTGGCTGTGGAAGTTTTAGTATACAGAGTGACGTTTGGGTTTATGACTGACTCACTGGTACAAAGTCGTCGATGAACCCATAACCTCCAAATGGATGGTGCATGCCGAAATTTATAATAATAATAATGTATCAGTTGATTTCACCACTCTTCTCAACATGAAATTGACCGAGAAAAAATAGTCAAGTAAGAAATGAGTCTATAATATGAGGATTTCTGCTATAGTACGATGTCTAGACATAAGTTTTTAAGATTGTAAACTCTAGTGTTATGGGCATCCCGGATTCCACTGTTAGCCATTGCCCATCATTACTATACATAATTGTAAACTCTCTTCATATTGAAGGCTGACGCCAACAATTGCCGATCTCTTTCATATATATGTTGTGACACCTTTTCCACCAAAGATTACGCTGTGTAGTTTGCAGTTATATTACTTATAATGATATTATCCATTCGACTAGTCGATGTCTAACTGTTTTATTATTGATTGTTTTTATTATTATTATTATTATTATTTCAGACCGTCGAATAACTAATGGTATCCGATGAACAGATTACTCATTTGGTCATATGCTGATGCTCTGTCTTTAATGATTCATGTGTTGATGATAGCGTATTTCCTTCTGATTTTAATTGGTGGGTTATTGTCTTCTGGTAATAAACAATTAAAGTGTACTGTGAATGAATGTTCTGACTTCTTGATATTGTCTAAACGAATTCAGCAACCCAATTGCAATTCATGAAATTGAATGTTGAACATAAGTCTTAGTCATAATCCTCTCAAGCGGCAATTCGATGTTTCCAACTCCCAAGTTGTTGTCTTCTGTGTATTCTGCATACGAAACAAGTCTTTTTCATCTGCATTATTGTATTACACTGTATAAAAAGGGATAGAAGTTTTCTTATGGCAACCACCGGTTATCAGCTTGACTAATATTGCGTGGTGGAGTGCTCTTATTTAGGTTAACGAAAGTGTTAACCAATATATGGAATCAAATACGATCCCCTCTGACTGGTCTAAATCACTGATTATTCCAATCTTCAAGAAAGGCGAGAAGTCCTCCTGTGATAACCACAGAGGAATCAGCCTGACGAACATTAGGTCTAAAATTCTAGGTTCTATAATTTTTCGACGCCTAAGTCGAAAAGCGAGCCCGAGAAAACCATGCAGACAAGCATTAGACCCGGTCGCGGGTGTATCAACCAAATATTCACACTCCGCCAGGTCCCGGAACACAGGCACGCTTACCGACGCCTGACAGTAGCTGTATTACTCGATCTGAAGGCGGCATTTGACTCCGTTGATCAAGAAGTCTTATGGCAATGTTTCTCACCAAAAGGCGTGTCGCGTAAGTACATCACCTTATTGAAGGCTCTCTGCTCGAACACTTGTGAGAGTGTTAGAGCTTACGGTGAGATATCCGGGGAGCTGTGCTCATCGAGTGGTGTCCTTCAACGGTGTCCACTGTCTCCATTCTTATTCAATTTTATCATAGATATTCTTATGGAGGTCTCCCTCTCGTCACCTGGTTACACAAAGGTTGACCTGATCATAGGAGAATTTTCGTTAGACCTAGGTATATGCAGATGACATGGCATAGCCTTGTTAAGTGAATACGCCGACAAGATGCAGGGTCTTCTGGACACTTTGAGTGGTTATTTGAGAATGTTTGGGATGCGGTTCTCACCACCCAAATGCAAATTGTTACTCCTGGATTGGCCTTCAACGGTGCCTCGGCTAACAATACAGAGTGAAGTGGTTGAGTGTGTCGACCACTTCACTTACATGGGAATCTGGATCAGCCCTACCCTGGTGAGTCAATGCCCGATGAGATCTCTGCACGGATATAAAAGACACGCTTGGCTTTTGCCAATTTACGCCACCTTTGGCGTCGCCGTGATATCCGATTGTCCATTAACGGTGGCGTATACTGCACGGCAGTCTGGTCTGTTCTACTGTATGGCTGTGAAACACACCGGGTTACCGGTTGTCACCTGATGTTCAGATATGCATCTTTCCAAACTAGTAGTCTATTATTTGTCACCTTGATGACTCACAACCCTATTGTGCTTTTCATAGTGGAACTAAATTTTTCTGCCTTATTTTTCTTCCACCTTCCTTGCATAACTGGACAAAGCCACTCTGACCAATTTGCTAATTCACTCACCTTAATTATATTGATCTTTGTTCTATATCATGGTGTAACTGGATGATCGTAAAGGTCATCTTCTGTACCAAAATTTGACTATTAACCTGAAAACTTAATGCCAGATTCATACTTTTGTAAAGGATCTCCAAACAAGATGGAAACGTTGAGGAATAATACACTACTATGGGATTACACAAATAAAAACATACCTTATACAATGTTCCTGATTAATTCTCTTATAGATATATTAGCGGACAGTAACTAAGGCACCTCCGATTTCACGCGGGTTGACTTATTCTCAAGAGGCAACCTATAGTACAAAGACGGTGAAAAAATCCACAAGGTCTTGAACAAACACATGCGTTTGATCGATATGTGTTTTGCACTCGTGAGATGTAAGATCTCCTTCACATCTATGCAATAACATCCAGACTAAGGATAAGCAGGCACTGATATTGTGGAAATGGGGTATTGCATCAGGTTGAACTGACTAGTTACTGACAAAGTTTCAAGTCAGATACAGAAAGGTCAAATAAAATTCGTCAACTACCATCAACTCGCGACCACGCGGCGTCCAAATTGAACGAGTGACTGACAAAATGAAGATAGCACCTTGCACAGTGGTGTATCCTCTGAATTTGACACACCTCACAAACCATATGCATAAAACTGTGTAATTATTATCATCTCTTCCTTTCGTATAGAAGCCCTAATTTGTTGGGTTTCTGATGCCCTCAGCTTGCTTTCTGTATTTGTGGAAAGCCGTCTATATTACAATCCTCAAGGGGTTTTATTTTAAGTCAGTTTGTCTAGTTGTATGTCATAATCTTACAATAAATATGGTTCTCAACTGAGTACGGAAAGATGGACATTAGTGGTTGCTCAGTTTTTTATTTGCAAGTTTATCACCTTAAAGGCTGGTACTTTGACTTTAAAGTATATAGGGTGTAAAGATGATATTTAACTTATAGACTGATGGAATATTTGCAATAATAGTCTTCATTTACCTCTTCATAGTTATGATTCGGGGTACATTTTGTCGAATGACCGCGTGAAGAATGTTCATGACAGGGTGTAGGTAACCGAGATACACCAATTACTAAGGTAATCAACTTATATTAGCAGGTGTCTGTTGCATATGCATTCCACGCTATCACCTAATTAAGTGAACTTGGTCTGTTGTCTTAAGGCTTAAATGTAAAATGCTATAGGATATATAGGTGAGATAAGACACTAGTTCATAGTGCTGTGGACCGTTTTACAAAGACGTATTGGTTAATGTCAGCCTTGGCTCATTTTACTAACCTGTGTAGAACAACAACTATCAGGTTCGCAGGATGCAATGAATAGGGTTTCATTGATATAAAAGTAAAACATGTGCACTGTGGTAGGATGTAATTCCATTTTTATTGGTTTATTAGATTTATCACACAGTGTAACAGTATTGTTTACTGGATTACGTTTCGGACATAATTTATTGTCCATAGTCATATCAAGATAAGTACACAACTTTGAGATATCCTTTATATAGTCCTAATTTCATCAGTCTTATTGTCTTAGGCTGAATACATGCTGATGTAATCTAAAGTTCGACTTAAACTTCCAAATCCCTGAAATATATACGCATGTGTTTAACAGCTTGGGAAGAGCAAAAACACCGAATTAAACAGAACATTGTGATGTCCTTTTATTCCGTTAGGTTTTCCTCAGTTGCTTGTGATCAGTGGGTCACGGGCTTGAACTTCGCTCCTCATACCGAGGTTTGGACAGCCAGGTAGTATCACTAGCCCTTACACGATAGGTATAGCTCATCACCTACTGCACAGATGTGCACTAGGTGGCTAAGTGCATTTCTCTGTCTTCTTCTCTTCTGTAAAATCTCGATGTGAGATTACATTAGAAATTTGACATACTTCGGTTCATCACCATGAAATTAGTCAGTGGATAAGTCCAACATGCAAGGGCACATTTAGACTAAGATAACGGAATGGAAGTTGAGAGGTTAAGATGTGCTAAGATTTTGCATTTATATATTGTTATCACTTATAGCATTCTTGTCAGACGGAAATGGACAAGGATAGCTACAAAAATAATGTAGCACTTAAAAAAACATTACGTGGATAAATTCACTGAACAGATGAGTTAATAGTAATGGTAATAATAATAATTCCGAAACATTCGGTAAAAAAACATGATAAGTTAAGTTCAGCAGAATAATATTGAAGTTTATTGTGAAATTAAAACGTTTCCTACTGATCACAAAGATATGACGAGAGTTTGTACATGAGTTACCAGAGAAGTGGGAGATTATCGACTGCTTTTTTAAGCGCATAAATTTGCTTCTATGCTTTTGTTTGTAACATGGAAGAATAGGATTGCACGGCTTGTGGATTATTTTAGAAGATTTCAAGTTATTCACCTGGTGTCTTGTATCGACTTAGTGTCTATCAGTCATCATCAACAGGAAAGTCGAAGCTCTAAGATGAAAGATGAGGAATCGGCCAAGAGTAGTAGACAAAAGTAAAAGAAGGGAAAGAGGAATACGAAAGTACTGAATTCAGCATGACGCTTGAGATGAGGATTCTGAGACACATCACATACAGCCTCCAACTACTGGTTTATGTTGTCACGTGGACCCCAACCTAGAAGTCCACATTCTCCTACATGGCTAAGGCAAACAGTCGAAGACTTCATGCGATGATGCCTTTTTATTTCTCGCCGCTCCTAACCCTTTCCAGACCTAAACAACATACTTCAGCTAACATTGTGGGATGGATAAAACGATGACTAGGTATGCGTAACATATGTCCTAGCCGTCTCAGTCGATGAAGGTTAACAACCTCATCAACTGACTTCCCCCCCCCCCTCCCTGAAACTCTACACCTTACGCCTGCATTACTGATATGGTGACGTCACGATACGCGGCCTATTCTACGAAGCAACTATGGCCTCCACCTTAATGCCCATGTTTCACAACCATATAGTGGAACAGAGGGAACTATAGCGCAGTAAAGTTCACCCTTAATAGACGACCAAGCATCCTGGTGGCGCCATAAGTGGCCTACGTTAGTGGAAGCCAAGCGAGCCCTTTGTATCTCTGTAGAGATCTCATCTGTGACTGGTCCACTGGGGCGTAACCGACTTCCCACGTACGTGAAGTGGTCAACCATTTCACTCTCCATCTTTGACCAATTCACCAGTAAAGACCAGTCCTGAAGCAACGGTTTGCAACTCGATGGCGAGGAATGCATCCCAACCATTCGAATCGCCACTCAATATATCCAGAGGACTCTGTATCTTGTTATCTTCTTCATGCAACGGGAAAATATCATCTGCATACGCCAGATCTCCTGTGATACTATCAATAGCTGTGAAGTCAGACGATG